GCGCAACAACCCAGAAGACAGAAATCTTCATACTCATCGCCCTGATGATGGAGGCAGTAGGACCTCTGAAACGTTGGTAAACATCGACCAGACTACACAGCGCAACAACCCAGAAGACAGATATCTTCATACTCTGATGACGGAGACAGTATGACCTCTGAAACGTTGGTAAACATCGACCAGACTACACAGCGCAACAACCCAGAAGACAGAAATCTTCATACTCACGGCTGTGAGAACCTCAAGTCTTACACATCTAAAACTCTTACGCTACAACGCAGAAGACAGCCATGTTCGTAATCGATGCCGTGAGAACCTCAAATCCTACTAAATGATGTATTGTTTTTCAAGTTAGTTATGGAATAATTCCGAGCTCTTAGCACATAATTCCTGGATAATAAGATTTGCGTACGCTGAAGTGATTGAGCCAGTAGATTAAATTCTTGTGTATTACGTCACAGCCGTCTCTGAGAACACTGTACAAGGCCTCAGGATGTTTCCTGTCGACCACAATGGGTTATTTAACGACGTTTTTATCATTTTTCTATAACTTATGCAACACGACACGTAATAATAAACAATTCAGACCTTACCGCAAGAAATCACTCTGCTTCACCATTACAAACATCAGCCATTTAGTGCTACTTAAGGGCATAATCGCTGATTATTCTGAGAATCTTACAAAACCCATATAATTTTTCGAGAACTGGAGAGTTATTGAAAGTTAAAGCAGGTGGTACATACAGTTATCAGCGTGCTTTAGGTGGCTAGTTTAACTCGTAACTGCTGCAAGCTTTGTTTTTCAGGGAAAGTTTCTGGCGCACAGTTCGATAACTATCGCCATGTTCACTCGGTTCGCGTGGAACGTGCACCGAGCGTGTCTGAGGACATGAACCTGCAGCGTAGAATGTTTATGGACCGACGGTTTCCAGAATATATTTCTCAGACCGTATAACTAATTAAATGTAAAACACAGTCATCAGATAGTCAATAAATTCCTAGAATGGTATTGAATTCTAAGGTCCATGGTCGTATTTGCAACAGCATGCTTCTGGATCCTGT